GAAAGAGAGAGAGAGAGAAAGAAAGAAAAAAAACGGGAATAAAGAGAGGGAGAGAAAGAAAAAAAAACGAGAATAAAGAGAGAGAGAGGGGGAGAGAGAGAGAGAGAGAACGACATTATTACAAGATTTATCCTTGCAATTAAAAGTTTTCTTTTCAAATTATTTATTTTCACGTCATTATTCAAAGTCTTTATTAAAAGCAACAACCAAAAAAAAAAAAAAAAAAAAAACAACAACAAACAAGTAATAAAAAAAATTTTTATATTAAACTGGCACAAAATTTGTTTAATTATTTAATTTTTTTTTTTTTTTTTTAAAACTTGCCGTTTGTTTACAAACAAACAAAACAAAATATTCACGTACTAAATAATAATAATATTAATATCACGTTTCGTTAAAAAAAAAAATGGTAAACACAATTATGTTAAAAGTATTATTATTAATAATGATATCCTCCGCTCCGTTTCGGTTTCTAATTTTTTAATCGATATTTTATTTATGACAAAAAAAGGTCTGCTTATTTCATTCAATCAATCAATCAATCAATCAATCATTCATTCATCAAAATAAATAAAAAAATATTTACTTACCTTTTGTCTATTGCCGTTACCCAATCAGTTGACATGCCACGTATATTGTTACCATTTTTATTTGGCGTTATTTTCGTTATGATCATTCTCGCGGTCACGAAAACTTTTTTTTTTTTTCCCACGTTTGTTAATCGATTGTTTTTAGTTTGTTGTTGTTCATTTGTTTTGATTCCCTTTGATTTGATCACACGTGCGTTACATTTTATTTTAGAAAAAGAAAACAAAACAATTTTCTTAGTCGTATTTAATCATCATCAACATGAAAAACTCCATCGTTTTTTTTTTTTTATTCAATCCAAATCCTGAGTCCAAATCCTGGAAAAAAAGAAAAAATTAATTTCAAATAGTTTTCCAAAAAATAATTAATAATAATAATAATAATAACTGGAAAAATAATAATAATCGCCAACGTTTAATTTTTGTTCGTTTGTTTGTTTAAATTTATTTTAATTATTGATAACTCATCCGGAAATTGCCGATTATGACCGATTTTAATTATTTAAAACGAAAAAAATTTTATTTTGTTATCGTGTCAGCAGAAAATTTTTGTTTTTAATTATTTTTATTATTATTATTTTAATTCGGTTGTCCGCAAATGAAATAAAAAAAAAGTTTTTTTTTTATTTTTAATTAAAGTTAAAAAAGAAAAAAATAAAAATTCATTAAAATTCCTGTTGGGTTGTTGTTTGTTGTTGTTGGTTGTTGGTTGTTGTTATTGTTGACCGTGAAAAATCACTGCAGGTAATTTTTACAACTTTTTAATTTTCTAACGAAATAAACAAAAAAAAAAAAAAAAGAAAATAAGAAAATAATTTCAAGTTTCAAGTTTTTTTGTTTTTCTTTTTTGTAAATAAAAAGTTTTGCCAACATTAGCGAGATGAAATTTATAAAAAAAAAAAAAAAATTTCTCGGATATTAAGCGTTCATAATAAAAAAAATAAAAAAAAATAGTTTTTTTTTTTTTTTTTTTTGTTAAAATAATAATTGCATTTTCATACATTTTTATTATTATTAACTAATCTTGAAAAGTTTTTTTTCTTGTATTTTCTGGAATTTTCCAAAATCATTTATCTCCAGATTTTTTTTAAAGGAATAAATCCCGAATATTGAATATTGGTGGTGTGTGATGTGGAAAAAAAAGGAGATTTGTTCACACGTAAGGTTTCTTCTTCGATTTTTTAAAATCCTCTCTTACATTGCCTTTAAATGATTGTGGCAATAGGTTTCTACTGCTTCCACGACGACTTAATAGTTTTTGCATTTCCCTCCCCTCCCACTTTGGAAACTTTAATTAATTTATACAATTTCTCAGTATCGTATCCGGTTGTTGGCTTGCACAGTTCTGTCAGTGTGAATTTGTTGATCATACAGCTGTCGTGATCGAACCTGAAACGTGGTTACGCCACCACTGTGGCCACCTCTTTCATTCGAGTAAAGTCCTAGATATTCACGTTTTGCCAATATCGGAAAACCGGAAATGAAATCATCGATTGTTTCCGACGGCAATCGGGAAATTCGATAGGCGTAAACTTTGAGAATAAACGAAAAACTTCTTCTTGTAATTTTTTTCACCGAAACCAATTTTCCTTATTTATTTATTCATCTTTTTCCGGTATCGTTTCTTAAACTTTTTGCTACTTCCGTTTCCTCTAAAATTCTTTTTTACTCGGATTGATTTTAGCTATCGATTTCATTTTTATCTAACGTTCCATTCCTTCATTCCCTTATTTAATATTATTATTATTATTATTAATATTTATCTAAAACTTTTTGTAATAAAAAAATTTTTATGACGTCATCAAAATTTGCCTTTTTTTTTTGATAAAAATCGATAGATAATACTTTAATAATTTTTGTTTTTTCTCAAAATTTCCCGGGGGGAAGGGGGAAAGAGGGGGAAAGGGTAAACAGGGAATTTATTTATTTATTATTTTATTTTTAAAATATAATTTTATAAATTTTGCCTTTTTGTACCTGTTTCCTGTTTTGTTGTCGTCGTCGTTAAAAAAAAAAATTAATTTATCCTTTCGTTTAAATATTATAAAAAAAAAGGTTGTTGGGATGATTTCCCTCGAACGTTTTGATATTTTTTTTTTACATCCCCGACGGGTGATGTAAATGTGTGTACGCATGTGCGTGTGTGCAAAAATTATCCGTAGTAGATAAATTATTTCCGAATAGATAATAATAATAATAATAAAAATAAAAAGAAATTTTTTATCTTAACGATAAAAATTTATATTTAATTTCCTTTTGCGTTAAGTCGAGCGTTAAAAATTTCGTTTTTACAAAACCGGAAATAGAAAGACAAGAAGAAAATACTAAAAAGAGAAAGTAAAACAAAATTAACCTACTTAAAAAAAAGAAAAAAAAAAAATTTCAAACGACGACATTAAACGTGGAAGAATATTTTTTTTTTTTCTCCAGAACGACAAATAATAATAATAATAATAATAATAATAATAAAGCCAACGGCCATAGCGTGCTGGTCACACCGGTTCCCGTACGATCACCGAAGTTAAGCAGCATCGGGCGTGGTGCAAACTTGGATGGGTGACCGTTTGAGAACGCCACGTGCTGTTGGCTTAAAAAGAGCAAAAAAATGAGAACAAGACAAAGTAAGAACCAAAAAACAAATCTTGTTCTACTGTCGACCTGAGGCAGCTCGACGAGAACGTGAATTTCACTGCTTCTGACCCTGGCCACTCCAAAGATGTTAGTCACCGGAGCCCAGTTCAGGAGACAAATCGTTCCCATCGAAAAAGACGGACTCAGGAAGACCTTCAAGAATTGATGTGGTGCTATCTTATAATAAGTGGCACCACCGAAATTCGAGTATTTGTCCCTAAGGAATCGGGTAGAAACCTCGGATAAATACTTAAAAAACTCCGACAAGTAGCCTTGTCGTGTTTAATGGTGGATAATAATAATAATAATAATAATAATAATAATAATAATAATAATAATAATAATAATAATAATAATAATAATAACGTGGGAGCATTGGGAGCCATGCCACATTCAATGAAAGGAAATTTAAAGAAGATTATGAAGAACCTAAAAGAAGAAACCATCCAGGAAATTGCACTATGTGGGACGGCCCACATTCTTCGGAAAATATTATAAGTAGCACCACCGAAATTCGAGTATTTGTCCCTAAGGAATCGGGTAGAAACCTGGGATAAATACTTAAAAACCCCGACAAATAAGAGCCTTGTCGTGTTTAATAGTGGACATAATAATAATAATAATAATAATAATAATAATAATAATAATAATAATAATAATAATAATAATAATAATAATAATAATAATAAAAAAGAAAAAAAAGAAGAAAAAAAAAATTTCCGTTGAATATTTCGGCGTAATTCAAACGCGAAAAATTTATTCGAAATAATTTTTTTTTGCAGTACCGTATTAAGGTTATTATTATTATTATTAATAAATTTTTTTATTTTTTTTCGAGCGTGTGTTGTGTGCGTGTGTGATGACGTAATAGGGATTTAATGTAAAGAAAGAAAAAGATTTAAATCGACGTTTTTATACATTACTAATATTATTATTATTTTTCTTTTTCTCCTAATAAAGGTTATGAAAACCAGATTTTTTTTCTTCTTCTTCTTCACCTTCATCTTCTTCTTTTTCTTTTCCTATTTCTTCTTTTTCAAAAAATTAAATTTATTAATAAAAGAAAAAAATTTTTTTTCAATGAAAAGGTTTTATCATTACTTGAGTAAGAATTGATCTTTTATATAATGTTTTTTATTACAAGTTTTGATTCTTAATTCGAAGAATGTGAAAAGGTTGCAAAAAGAAAAAAAAGGAAAAAAAGGAAATTTATATATATGTATTAGAAGGATTTAAGTGCGGAATAATTTTTTTACCCTTTTTTTTATCCTTGTAGATTTCTCTCTCTTTCTGTTTTTATATTTTTCTTTATCTATTATTTTCCACCTTTATCTTTATGATTCTTTCTCTTTACGACGACAACGACCTTTTCTCACATCAAATAAAATATCTTGTTTTCAATAATAATAATAATTTTTACTTAAATTTTTTGGGTTATTACACCGCGTCAAATTTTTAGAAAATGGAGCGAACTCACCCATTTTTCCAAACGTTTCGCCGATTTGAACAGCTATCGGCATCCTCAGTGGAGTCTTGCGTACCTGTGTACTTAACACTTGCACTATCAAAACAAAACTGAATGAAAAAGTTTGAAAGGCTTATTTTGGTTTAATTTTGTAAGCCCAGGTAGGCTGTTTTCCGTAATTCAAAAGGTTAAAAGTTATTTTTGTAAAGATTTTAAAAGGGGGAAAAAAGGAAAAAAGGAGAATGAATGGCATCATTGACTGGCCAATAAGATTATTAGACAGTCAATGATGCCAGGGATGTCCCGGGGGGGGGGTGTTAGTTCGTTATTTTTAAGAGGGGGGACCATATGGGATTGAGTTGTGTCCCGGAGTCCCTGTTGAAATTTAACGGGTGTTTCAGGATCTCTATGGCCTCCAGAAATGGTAGATGTGAGGGATCGGGGTTCTTTATCAGTACTGATGTTTTTTGAAAATCAATGTTATGTTTTTCAGCGATGGCGTGTTCCGCCACCGCTGATTTGTCCGGTTGGCTTAGCCTTAAATGACGTTCGTGCTCCTTTGTTCTAGCACGAACTGAGCGGGACGTCATGCCAATATAGACTTTTCCACAGTGGCATGGGATTTTGTATATTCCTGGGTAATCTGTAGGTGGGAGGATGTCTTTTGGGTTGTTTAATAAGTTGGCGATTTTTGCAGTGGGAAGGAACACTGTGGAGATGTTCCTTTTGGTTAGCAATTTGGCTATTTTGTCTGTGACTCCCTTTATGTAGGGTAGGAACACTTTATTATTGTGTTTGTGATTTCGGTCAGTGTTGTTGGGTTTTGGTTTTTTGGTGGTGGGGGATAAGGCTTTTTCTATTGACCGTCTATTATAACCGTTGGCTTGGAATATGTGTTTTAGGTGAGTTATTTCTTGATGAATGGAGTCGGCGGATGAGATTGATTTAGCTCTGTGGAAGAGTGTTTTCATAATGCTATTTTTTTGAGCTGGATGATGGTTCGAGTCGGCGTGGAGATACCTGTCCGTGTGGGTGGGTTTGCGGTAAACAGAGTGGGAAAGTTTTCCGGATTGGAGTTTCTTGACTAGGACGTCAAGAAAGGGTAGCTGGTTGTTGTTTTCTATTTCAAAGGTAAAGGAAATATTTGGATGGATGGAGTTGAGGTGATTTTGAAAGTCGTGGAGGAGAGAAGGGTGGTGTGGCCAGATCACAAAGGTGTCATCTACATAGCGGAACCCCAATGGGAGGGTTTGTGGGTGGCAGAGTTTAAAGCCGTTTTTTCTAGATATTCCATGAAGAAATTAGCCATGACGGGCTTATGGGGCTTCCCATGGCTAATCCTTGTTTTTGGGTGTTATAACCCAAAAA